GGAGAAGAAATCACTTGCCTATCACTTGCCTGCCATAAAAATTCATCATCTCTACACACACAACAAGTAGAGATGCAACACAGCCGTTTCAACTTTCACAAGCTCTTGTACAGTCACAGCAGGAGGGACTTGTGGCAATTCATTTGGTGAATGAAACAGGCAGGCTAATGACATTTGTACTATTCCGCCACCCTAGAATGCCTGCCCCCTTCGTCACACTTCATCTCTCTTTTAAGCTCAGATATTTGGTCTCCTTCATCCTTTTCCAGAGTCCATCTGCCTATATGGACTCCACCTTTCATAGAATCTCTCTCATTGTTGAAATGCTGCTTGTTCAAGCCACTGTTTTGAATAGCTATTTTGTCCTGTCTTACTATCCCAACCGCAGAGAAGAGCCATGTAAAACAAGCCCCTCTATACTCTCATATTTTGCATGATGTGGGTACCCTTCTAGGGATGCTCCTTAGGAACCTTTCCGTCAACTGACTTATATAATGTCATTGTCCCTCTGGTTTCTATCCCCTGTACTTATTTAGGTTTTGGGTTTTTTTTGTTGTTGTTGTTGTTGTTTGTTTTTTTTGTTGTTTTTGGTTTTTTGGAGTTTTTTTTGGTGGAACCAGGGATTGAACTCAGGCCCTTGCACTTGCCAGGGAAGCACTTATTCCACTGAGCCATCTCCCCGGCCCCCCATGCTTATTTAATGTGAGCAAGTGGTAATTGATGTGTTGCATACTAATATTTAGAGTCCATGAATCTCAACGGGAATACTTGTACATTTTAAAAAGGTAGATATTCAGAGACAAGCAATTTTTTCACTCCAACCAAAAAAAAAAACAAAAAAAAAAACAGTAGTTTAATCATCTTTATGGCAACTGCGTCTGACTAGAGTATTACAGTATCTGAGCACCCAAATGAAAGTAATTCTACTAGACAGTTCCCTTTTACTAATACAGTTAGGTTGAGCAGAGTTCATGTCACAGTTCCCAGAATGAATAGTCATCAGTGGACAAAGACACAAGCATTTTTACCTTAATACCTTGCTGTCCAACACCAGGGGCTCCAGGAGGACCATAAGGACCAGGAGGACCTCGATCACCCTAGAGGAAGATAAATGATATGTTTGTTTGAATCAATAGTACTTGTACATAGATAAATGGATGCAACGAGAGACCATACTCATACGTGAAATTAATCAGACTCGCATGTGTAAACATTGTACTGTCTCCCCAGTATTGGAAACGAAAAGAGTAAATAAATCTAAAATGCATAACAGATACTATGAGATGGGAAGAAATTGTCTAAAAGGAAAAAG